TCTCTGTGAGTTCAAAGTCAACCTGACCTACAAGAGCTAGTTCCAGGACAGGCTCCATAGCTACAGAGAAACTCTGTCTCAAAAAACAGGAAAAAAAAAATAAAGCTATAATGTATACATAAAATAAAAATAAATAAATCTGAAAAAAAAAAAGATTGAGACTGGGAAAGATTTCCTGTCTGTTTTGGTTTTGGAGACAGGATTTCTCTGTGTGGCCCTGGCTGTCCTGGAACTAGCTCTGTAGACCAGGCTGGCCTCGAACTCACAGAAATAATCCTCCTATCTCTGCATCCCAAATGATGGAATTAAAGGTGTGTGCCACCATTGCCCAGCTGAGACTGGAAAAGCTTTAACACTGTAAATTGTGAGTTGGATATTCAACAAATGTACATGAACTCATTACATGACGGTAGGAACTTCTAACTCCTGCCTCTACCTCCCTGGGATACCTGTGCACCAGGCTCTTCGTCCTTAAATTAAAACATATATATATTTGGTTTTATATCAGATCTTACTACATAGTTCAGGCTGGCTTCCAACTTCCAGAGATCACTTCCTCTGGTTCCAGAATCCTGGCATTGAAGGCATACACCACCACAGCTGGCTCTTCCCTTTTTTGAAGATAGGGTGTCACTATGATCCTCAGGCCGGTCCTGAATTTTTAATCTTCCCACCTCAGCCTCTGGAATGTTAAGATGATAAATTCTGTGTACCCCTAGCTATTTTTCCTTTCTTCTTAGAGATAAAATCTATTTGAATAAAGGGGTCCTCCTTCTGTGGAAACTTGCTAGCACTTTGAGAGTGTTCTGTACATTGGAGGGGTATTCATTTTTTGAATCAATATTTTTCCAGAGCATGAAATTTGATGGTATTTCCCATTTGGGGAGGAGGGAAAGATGCTTACTGAGCTTTGTGCATGCTGTGCGATTCTATCTACCACTGTGCTACACTGAGCCCTAATATCATTAACTCTTCCCCTAAGATACTTTAAAAAAAATTGTCTTAGTGCAATGAGATCATCAGTTCGCTGGATAAGAACCAGACTGCAGAGAAGGAAGAATTTGAACACCAGCAGAAGGAATTGGAGAAAGTCTGCAACCCTATCATTACCAAGCTGTACCAGACTGCTGGTGGGATGCCTGGAGGAATGCCTGGCGGCTTCCCTGGTGGAGGAGCTCCTCCATCTGGTGGTGCTTCTTCAGGGCCCACCACTGAAGAGGTGGATTAAGTCAATTCAAGTAGAGGGGTAGCATTGTTCCACAGGAAACATTTGAAGAACCCAAATTTAGCAAGTTACAGGGCAGTTTCAAATTCAAACTGCTACAATAAATTTACTGGGCATTCTCAATACTTGAACATGGAACGTGTGCACAGAGAGTGAAGTAAGCATTGCACTTTATAAGCACTGCATCCTAAGTGGAAAATGCAATGTCTATAATAAAACAGGTGGAAAATGGAATGTCTAATAAAATATTTAAATTGGAAAAAAAATTGTCTTGTTTTTGGAGATGGGGTTTTTCTGTGTAACTGTCCTTGCTGTCCTGGAACTCGCTGTGTAGACCAGGCTGGTCTCAAACTGAGATCCACCTGCCTCTGCCTCCCAAGTGCTGGGATTATAGGTGCCACCCCCACCTAACGATACTGAAAATTTGTATTTACTCCTTTGAATGTGTGTGTGTGTCATGGCCACAGTGCACACGTGGAGCAGAGGACAGCCTGCAACAGGTTCCTCCTTCAGAGTGCTCCGCGGGCCTGTTGGCAAGGGCTTGCACCCACTCAGAGTCTTCTCAGACCAAGATGTTTGGGTTTGTTTCATTTTGACATTATTTTGTGTGTGCTGACTCTGGTCCATCTTGATTTAAGGTCAGAGAATTCAAACCTATTCCTGATCCTCAAGGCCAGACACTGGATATTTGATCTACGGCATGATTACTGGATATTGTGGGAAATAAGGAAGTAATTACACTCGTTGGCTCATTGTATCACGGTAAGGAAGCCTTTTGCCCCCCCCCCCCCGTTCTTGGGGTATAAACAGCTATGAGAAACAGATTTGGGCAGATACAGTATTCACCGAATGCCCCCCAACTCTATCTTCTGTTGCTTGTCTATTTCTCTTCTCCATCCTCACTCCCCGTTCCCAGCGCTTTCGAGAGCAGGACAACTTTCTGGTGACCCATGCAATCACACTCAGGTCAGAGGGCTTGGCTTTGCCTTCACCCACTTTTACCCACTGAGCCATCTCACTGGCCTGTGGCACTGTGAGGGGGCACCTCAGGGGTTAGGATCTGAATTCTCTGACCTGAAAGGTTTTGTTTTCTTTTTCTTTTTAGTTTTTCGAGACAAGGTTTTTCTGTAGCTTTGGAGCCTGTCCTGGAACTAGCTCTTGTAGCCCAGGCTGGCCTCGAACTCACAGAGATCCGCCTGCCTCTGCCTCCCGAGTGCTGGGATTAAAGGCGTGCGCCACCACCGCCCGGCACGGTGTCAATGGTGGTTGAACTAGCTGTTCAGCTCAGGATCGTGAGGGTGAAGAGCAGTTTGTCCTCCTCCATGGACATGAGCTTTTCAGTCATCCCCCATGATGCTGCTGTTTTTGAGGTGTCCAGCTGAGTCAGGGGGGAACTGCTGCGCTGTCCCTGCTGCCTGCAAGGTCCTCTACAAGCACTAGGTGACTTGCTGCTCAGAAGGTGGCAACAGACCTCCAGAACCCTCCTCCATAGTATCTGTCCCGCTGGAGGGTCTGGTTCCCTGGAGTTGAACATCAAACAGCAACCCGCCAAGGTGACATTTTGAGATGCAAACGGGCTGTCAAGGGTGTGTGCACACACATTACTGGAATGCACTCATCATGTTAGTAATAAGTAAAAAAAGCATTTTTTCTTTTAAAGATTTCAAATATTTCTACCCACTTATGTAAAAAAGAGAAAAGAAACAAAAATACATTATTTAAAAATCTTGTATTGTGCTGCATACTGCCTTCATATGCAAGTGCCCCAGTGAAGAACTTCTTCCCAGGCAACACACAACACTGCTAATATATCAAAGTTAAAACATGTCTCCCTACTAATTATGAACAGCTAATTCTAGATACTAGTTTCCAAAGCTTGTAACTACTAACCTTGTTTCAACACAGACAATTTCAGTGCCTTTCAACTTAGCCCTGAATCTTCTCTTCAAAGTTCCAGAGAATATTTAATTTTCATGCCTTCAGGTTGGGCAATGCTGATGCTCTAGAGCTTGTAAATTAGCTACATTGTGACCACTGAGGAGGGGCTCCAGCTACACACTGCGCTCCTGAGGAGGGGCTCCAGCGCACACTGTGCTCCTGAGGAGGGGCTCCAGCGCACACCACTGAACTCCTGCAGCTATCTAGCACCATGATTACAATGCTCAATGGGAATTAAGGGGCCAGCTTAGGATCAAATGTCTGACAGGGATAGCCTTAAAAAGACTGCTGCTTGGGGCTGGAGAGATGGCTCAGTGGTTAAGAGCATTGCCTGCTCTTCCGAAGGTCCTGAGTTCAATTCCCAGCAACCACATGGTGGCTCACAACCATCTGTAATGAGGTCTGGTGCCCTCTTCTGGCCTTCAGGCATACACACAGATAGAATACTGTATACATAATGAATAAATATATATATAAAAAAAAAGACTGCTGCTTTCCTTGTATGGAACACAATCTCTCTGTCTTACAGGCCTTTCTTTCTAGCGATGTTTTTTTATTGCCTTTACAATCTTGAATCGTTGTAGCTGTCATTTCCTTGCTTAACACGGATGACAAATGCATAGATCATCAGTAATAAGCAGCATAGGTCTACAGTCTGAAAGTCCTTAACCAGGCGAGCAACTGTTCAGAGAGAAAGGTGCTGTATTTTGTCTCTTCTCTGAAATGCTGTGGCTTATATAGACTGGAATTTGGGTCTTTCATTTTTTGATGGCTTGAATATTAAAAACAATTTTGTATAGTTACCAGAACTTTCAAAAGACGCTACCCAAAATGTTAAAAGTCCTAGCAATGGCTCCTCATAGACTCTGGATCAGCTGCCATTCCTCTGACAGAGGGAAGCAGGAAGCTTTGTGGCAACTTTGAAGAGGCATCACCTGAGCCTGGAGCGAACACTCCATCCTGGGATCACAACTCTCCTGAATGTGCCCCACACAGCACGCTCAAGACATCAAGACAGAGAGCGCACCACTAATAGTTAAAGCTGTTTCTTCCAAGGTTAGTCTCACGTATGGGAAGCAAAGTGGTCCTCTCTGACGCTGAGCTTGGACAACTCTGAGGAAATCCTCAGATTATGAAAACCAATTCGTATATGCGGATACGAAAGCTTCAAGACTGGTCGGTCGGCCAAACAGAAACTCCAGACCTTTAAGCCTAAGTCTAATGACTGCTGAGGTCAAGAGACCACCTAACAATTTTACTCAGACTCCAGATGCCTCTTCTGTTCGGACAACACCATCAGTTTAAAGAAAGGGCCTAAAACCACAGCACAGGCCCAGCTCTTCAGAGAGGACGCCTGGATAAGGCATGCGGTGGAGCTGTCCTAAGAAAGAATTTACTTATTTGTTTATTCTTGGTTTTGTTTTTCTAAGACAGGCTTTCATTCTGTAGCCCAGCAAGCCGCAAACTTGTGGAAGTCCTGCTTTAGCCTTATAAATACTAGGATCACAGCAGTGAGCCGCCATGCCTAGCCCAACAAGGGATTTAAACAAGAACCGAGGGAGCTCGTGACTGGTCCAGATCCAGAAGCAGTTCTCAAAGTGCCAGTCTTCAAAGGTAAAGGAAGGCAAGATACTGAAAAAAGAACAAGTACGTTCAAGAGAAACCTTCCCTCTACGTTTCCGTTTCTGTCTCGCCTTTGGGTCAAACGCGCAGTCCTCAGGCTCATCACAGGAACACTTTCTGACCCCATATGCCATGTCTTCCTGTGTAAACACACAACAATATCTCCCTAATCACTTCATAATCTACAACAGAAGTCCATGCCACAGACGCCTACTCACCTTTAGCACCAATCTCTTTATCGTTAGTTTCCCTATGCAACATTTTGTTCTGTCTCCAAGATACACAGTGTGGAAAAACAAGGTAGAGAGGTCCTTCTGTGAGACAGTACCAGGAAGCTCAAGTTGAAGGATGGTGGGGGTAGACAGCAAAGTTCCTTTTGTAAACTTAGTCAAGTGCACACGGTATACATATTCTCCTGGGTATAAACAATTTACACAAATTAATTTACATCAGCAACATAACCAAAACAATGGCAGATCAAATTCCCCTGTGACAATCAAGGAGTGGGCAGTGCTCTGAGGGCTAAAAAGTCAGAGTCACTGAAAACGCCCAGTGGCCATGGCCCCCTCGCCAGTGGCATTTAGGGTAGCGGGAAAGAGAGCGGACAGTGTGCCCGTTATTGCAGGTACTGGGCTGTCGGGCAGCACCGCAGTTCACAGCAGGGACATCACACTTCCCTCAGGTTACCGAGTCTTTCTTCTTCCTGAACGGCGACTTCAGCCTCCTCCACACACTGCTTTTGGGTTTAGACTTTTTCTCCATGGACAATACTAATTCCTTTTCTTTCTTACGAATCTCGCGAACAAGAGCATGGAAAACGTCATCGATATAGTAACGATACGCAGCAGAGGTCTCAAAAAACGGACAGCTGAATTCCCGCGCCAGAGATAACCCCTCTTCCTTGGAGACCTTCAAAGGCACAAACATGAGAAAATGTATAGTGCACAGCAGGCAGCAGTTACAGCTGTCACAAAGAGTCAGTGGCTTCCTTACCTGGACAGGGCTCCCCGCTGGAGAGGGGCCAGCAGAGAACACAGCCCCGGGAAACTGAGGGCCCAAGCTGTATACCACAGGACTCCAAATCACAGGGTTCTATTTCCAGTGTACTTACCAGATTGCTGTTTTAAAGACAGTCTCTTGTAAGTCTTCCATCTGTATCTTAGGAGTGCCTGGATTACATGTGTATGCCTCCATGCCTGCTTTAATGCAGGGTTAGGGACAGAGCCCACATAATTTTTCAATTGTTTTGTCAAGACAGGGTTTCTCTGTGTAGCCCTAGCTGCCCAGGCACTTTGTTCTGCAGATCAGGCTAGCCTCAAACCCAGAGATCCAGCTGCCTCTGTCTCACACCCAGCTTCCTGCATGGTAGGCAGACACACCACCAACTGAACTTTACAACTCAGCCTCTCTTTTCTTTTCTGAGGCAAGGCTTCCCTCTGGTCTAGAGCTTGTCAAGTATGCTGGCCAACAAACCCCAGTGTTCTGCCCGTTTCCAACTCCCTAGTGTTGGGGTTATAAACCATCATGTCTGGATTTCAAAACAAAAACAAGAAATGAAATCTATGCAGGGCGGTGGTGGCACACACCTTTAATCCCAGCACTTGGGAGGCAGAGGCAGGCGGATCTCTGTGAGTTTGAGGCCAGCCTGGTCTACAGAGTGAGTTCCAGGACAGCCAGGGCTACACAGGAAAACCCTGTCTCACTGAACTCAGGTCTCAGACCCTCTTAAAAAAAGGTGCTTTACTGACTGAACTGAGTCTCCAATCCTTTCAGTGGAACTTTTGGAAACAGATATCAAGTAAATACACATATTGATAATGATAGCTTTCTTTATGCTTTTGATTTTTCAGGACAGGGTTTCTCTGGGCAGCTTTGGAGCCTGTCCTGGAATTCCTTCTGCAGATCAGACTAGCCTCAAACTCAGAGATCCACCTGCCTCTGCCTACTGAGTGCTGGGATTAAAGGTGTGCACCACCATTGCCCAGATTTATTTATATTTTGGATTATTATTATTTTACGTGTATGGGTGTCCTGCCTACATGTATGTCTGTGTGCATGTATGTGCCTGGTACTCCTGGAGGCCAGAGGCATCAGATGCCCTGGAACTGGGGTTACAGACAGTTCTGAGTCATACCATGTGAACGCTGGGACGGAGGAGTCCTCCGCAAGGGTAACCAGTATTCTTAACCTCTGACCCTAAAGTTTCCATTAGTTTTATTAAGTGTTCGTTTATCTACTGTATGTGGAAGGCCTGAATCCCAGCACGTGTTTAAAGTCAACAGAGAATCAGCTGGCAACTCTGTGGAACTGGTTCTCTTGTTTCACCTCTGTGTGGATTTTAGGGATTGGATTCAGGCCACCGTATTTCCAGGCAAACAAGCGCCTTTACTGAGACTTCTTGTTGCCCTTAGCTCTATTGATATCTAAACTTTTATTTTGTGGTGCTGGGGATTGAACCCGCGTCCCTGTGTACGCTAGGCAGAAGCTCTACCACTAAACTACAGCCAAACGTCCTTTCTGATGATTCAGAAAGCTAACCGCTCATGATCCTTACTTAATAAGTATTCTATTGCCATCTATTGGTTTGCTAACTGACTGTCTGGGCCTAGGGCTACAAACCCTAGGCTGCCCTCTAATGTGTGGTGATCCTCCTGCCTAGCCTGTTAAATGCTTAGGTTATAGGTTATTATGTGTCTAAAACCCTGTGCGTTGATTTCTAAAAATCCAGATTTTATATATTATAACAGGAAATTTATAGCTAAAGGGACATTTCCAAAGCTAGGGATAGGCTAATTTTCATTTTCTATTTTAAGGCAAAGCAATCTTCAAGAAACAAACAACCACCCACAACATTGCAGGCCCTGCTTCTCACCTGCCGCAGCTGCTTCAGGTCCGATTTGTTTCCCACGAGAACCACTGGTGTGTCGTCAGTGCGTCTGACACGGTAAATCAGCTGTTTAAACTCCCGAACTTCATGAAAACTTCGGCGATCCGTGATCGAGTAACAGATGATAAATCCTTCTCCTGCCCTCATATACTGATCCCGCATGGCTGTAAACTCTGCCTGGAGGGAAGCAAAGGTCCATTGCTGCAATCAGACCTGCACACACACCAGCTACCTCAGAGTCAGAAACAGCATGTCAATTACCTGCTCTCCTGAGGCAGAGCATGGAAGTCAAGAGAGACAAACTAGTGATTCTGTTCATAGACGCCTGCCCCCCTCCTAAAGGACACACTCTACCCACACAGTTCTGGGTTCAGTACCTGCCCGGCTGTATCCAGAATGTCCAGGTTGGCAGGCTCATCGTCGATGCGGATCCGGATCTTGTATGCATCCTCTACAGGAGGGAGGAACACACATGTGGGAAGAAGCAAGGATCTGAAAACTTGCCCCACAGAAGAGGCAGTCCCGTCCAATTTTATTCACTTATTTTGGTAGAGGCAGACCTTGAATCCAGGGGTTCAAACAGTGGGCAAATGCTCTACCCCTGAGCTATATTCCCAGGCTTCAGCTTCTTACGTTTGCTCTCAGGCGTTCGCATGTACACATGTAAATGCATGAATGCTCATGTGTGTATGTGTGCACATGTGCATGGAGATCCAGGGCTCATACTGGATCTCACTAGGCAGCTTGCTCAATGAAGCCTGTCTTTGACTGTGGAGGCTGGAATTTCATGTAAGTCAGTTACCAGGGTTCCGGGGATCTGAACTCAACTCTGCTTCTAGCTTATAAAGCAAGCCCTCAAACCTCCAAACCATCTCCCCAGCCCACCAAGTTCTCTAAGGAATTTTATTATTAGTGATGTATATGTACATGCATGATGTATGTGTGTATGTATGTGTATGCATATGGAGGTCAAGGGTCAAATTTATGACGTCAGCTTTTCCCTTATACCTTTCTATGCACTCTAAGTCACAACACGAGTAGGGCGAGCACTCTTACCTGCTGAGCATCTCAGCGGCCCTGGATTGTTTTTATGTGCTTAATTTTCTCAGGATGCTATAAATTCATCAAAATATGTAGATTAGTTTTTCTTTGTTCATGGGTGGTCATGTATTTTTTTGTTTTGTTTTAAAAAGGCTTATTTATTTATTATTTATTTATTAATCTGTGCACAGAGTTCTGCCTGCAGGCCAAAAGAGGGCACCAGATCTCATTACAAATTGTTGTGAGCCACCATGTGGTTGCTGGGAATTGAATTCAGGATTTACGGAAGAGCAGCCAATGCCCTTAACTGCTAAGCCATCTCTCTAGCCCTTGTTTTGTTTTTTGAGACAGAGTTTCTTTGTAAAGCCTTGGTTGTCCAAGAATTAGCTCTGTAAACCAAGCTGGTCTCAAACTCACAGAGATCCATTTGCCTCTGCCCCCAAGTGCTGGGATTAAAAGCATGAGCTACCACCACCCGGCATGGTTATATATCTTATTCACAGCTGCAAATCTAAATCTAAAAGTTAATTCTGAGCATCTGAGAAGGAGAGGCAGGAGGATCTCTTTGAATTCAAGGCCAATTTTGTTTACATAATGAGTTCTAGGTGTGCTAGGGCTGCAAAGGGAGATGTTGTCTTAAAAAAAAAAGAAAGGAGGGGCTGGAGAGATGGTTCAGTGGTTAAGAGCATTGCCTGCTCTTCCAAGGGTCCTGAGTTCAATTCCCAGCAACCACATGGTGGCTCACAACCATCTGTAATGAGGTCTGGTGCCCTCTTCTGGCTTGCAGGAAGAATATTGTATACATAAAAAAAAAAAAGGAAGGAAGGAAGGAAAAGAGGGAAGAAGGGAGGGAGGGAGGGAGGGCTGGAGAGATGACTCAGTGGTTAAGAGCACTGGCTGTTCCTCCAGAGGAGGTTCAGTTCCCAGCACCCACATGGTGGTTCACAACCATCTATAACTTCAGTTCCAGAGGAACCAATGCTCTCACCAGATACATACACGGTACACAGACATACATACAGGTAAAACACTAATACAGAGAAAATAAATAGTAAAAAAAAAAAAAAAAGAGCCAGACATTGGTGGCGTATGCCTTTAATCCTAGCACTCAGGAGGCAGAGGCAGATGGATCTCTGTGAGTTTGAGCCCAGCCTACAAAGCAAGTTCCAGGACAGTTAGCACTACACAGAGAAACACAGCCTCAAAAATAAGAAAAATAAAAAGAAAAGAAAAGAAGGAAGGGAGGGTGGGAGAGAGGAAGGGAGAAGAGAGAAAGAAAGAAAAAGATGGTCTTAGTCACTGTGCTACTGCTGTGAAGACACCACAACCAGGGCTCTCAGGAAGCAAAGCATTTAACTGGGCTGGTTTCCAGTCTCAGAGGGTTAGTCTGTAGCTATGGTGGGGAGCATGCATGATGTGAGAGCAGCAGCTCAGTGCTGTGTCCTGTTGCACAGGCTGAGAGAAAGCGAGTGGAGACTGAGCTCAAATCTCACCCTGTGATACTTCTTCTAACAAGGCCACAATCCTAACCCAATCCTTTCCGACAGTTTCATTCTCTCTGTCACTAAACATTCACATACATGGACCTGTGGGGTCATTCTCATTCACATACATGGACCTGTGGGGTCATTCTTATTCACATACATGGACCTGTGGGGGGTCATTCTTATTCACATACATGGACCTGTGGGGTCATTCTCATTCACATACATGGACCTGTGGGGTCATTCTTATTCACATACATGGACCTGTGGGGGTCATTCTTATTCACATACATGGACCTGTGGGGGGTCATTCTTATTCACATACATGGACCTGTGGGGGGTCATTCTTATTCACATACATGGACCTGTGGGGTCATTCTCATTCACATACATGGACCTGTGGGGTCATTCTCATTCACATACATGGACCTGTGGGGTCATTCTCATTCACATACATGGACCTGTGGGGGTCATTCTTATTCACATACATGGACCTGTGGGGGTCATTCTTATTCACATACATGGACCTGTGGGGGTCATTCTTATTCACATACATGGACCTGTGGGGGGTCATTCTTATTCACATACATGGACCTGTGGGGGTCATTCTTATTCACATACATGGACCTGTGGGGTCATTCTTATTCACATACATGGACCTGTGGGGTCATTCTTATTCACATACATGGACCTGTGGGGGTCATTCTTATTCATATACATGGACCTGTGGGGTCATTCTTATTCACATACATGGACCTGTGGGGTCATTCTTATCCACATATATGGACCTGTGGGGTCATTCTCATTCACGTACATGGACCTGTGGGGTCATTCTTATTCACATACATGGACCTGTGGGGTCATTCTTATTCAAACCACCACAAGGACTCTTTTTTGTTGTTGTTGTTTTGTTTTTCAAGACAGGGTTTCTCTGTAGCTTTGGATTCTGTCCTGGCACTAGCTCTTGTAGACCAGGCTGGTCTCGAACTCCCAGAGATCCGCCTGCCTCTGCCTCCCGAGTGCTGGGATTAAAGGCGTGCGCCACCACCACCACAAGGATTATGAAAGAATTTCTTTTAAAACAGTAAGTCAGGGGCAGGGGAAGTGGCTCAACTGGTACTGTTGTGCTATGCAGGCCTGGCGACCTGAGTTAGAACCCCAGGATCCACATGAAAGTAGGATGGACAGAACTTTCACACATTTGCTGTGGCATCTATGCCTACACACACATCATGCACATTTAAAAAAAAAATGTAACCGCTGGGCGTAGTGGTGCATGCTTTAGTCCCAGGTGCCGTTTATTAACGCACATACAGAACATTAGGCTAGGCAAACTGTAAAGCACTATCATTTCCACCTTACAGAGAAGGTAAGCAAGGTATGGTGGACACACCCTTAATCCCACCACTGGTAGGGGCAGGCAAGGGGCAGAGGCAGGCAGATGTCTGAGTTTGAGGCCAAATGGAGTTGCAGGTGAAACTGTCTTAGAAAAAAAGACTTAGAAAGAATTAAAAGGCTAATCCTAAAATCCTGAATGTCTTCTTAACTGAAGTTCAGTGGTGATGGAGCCAGCATGCACTGCGGTTCCTCTTCACAACTCACCCACAGCACTGGTTTTAAAAGGTGGAGTCCCCGTGCCTGGATACTTTTGTTTAAAGACTTACTTTTATTTTATGCATGTGAGTGTTATGGCTGAAAGTGTATTGTGTGTCTGATGCCCTCAGAGGTCAGGATATGGTATCAGACTGCCTGGAACTGCAGCACTAGATGGCTGTGAGCTGTCGTGGTAGTGTTGGAAACCCTGTCTGCGACCCTGCGAGCACAGCTGTGTACTGTACCCAATGAAGCGTCCCTCACAGCTTCACTATTTTCTAGAAAATGTCACAACCCCTCCATTTTGAAACCAAGCTCTTTTCTGCATATTACTGTCAGGTGCAACACTATGTTAAACGCAGGTCGTAAGCATGTGACCTGAGCGATCTTTAGCCCTTTACAAAATTTTAATTTTATTACATTTTTGCTATTTATTTTTTGTTTTGTAGAGAGGGTCTCACTATGTAACCCTGGCTGGCCAACTTGATATGGAGACCAGGCTGTCCTGGAACTACAGGCGTGAGCCACCGCCACCTGGCTCACATCTACCTTCTTCAAAGTGGATTTCTATAATCATGGAAAACACAGAAAAGTAAAAGAGAGGGCTGGAGAGATGGCTCAGAGGTTAAGAGCATTGCCTGCTCTTCCAAAGGTCCTGAGTTCAATTCCCAGCAACCACATGGTGGCTCACAACCATCTGTAATGGAGTCTGGTACCCTCTTCTGGCCTGAAGGCATACACACAGACAGAATATTGTATACATAATAAATAAATAAATATTAAAAAAAAAAAGAAAAGTAAAAGAGAATCAACTGCCACACAGGGTGGTACAGGGCTTGAATCCCAGAACTCAGGAGAAAGAGGCAGGCGGATCTCTGAGTTCAAGACCAACCTAGTGTACAGAGTGAGGTCCTGGGCTGCCAGGACTATGCCAAGAAACCCTGTCTCGAAAAAAAAACTAGGCACATACACCCCAAGATAAATCCTCTTAACATTTTCAAAGTAATGATATTCTTTTTTTTAATATTTATTTTTTTATTTATTATGTATACAATATTCTGTCTGTGTATATGCCTGCAGGCCAGAAGAGGGCACCAGACCCCATTACAGATGGTTGTGAGCCACCATGTGGTTGCTGGGAATTGAACTCAGGACCTTTGGAAGAGCAGGCAATGCTCTTAACCTCTGAGCCATCTCTCCAGCCCCCCCAATGATATTCTTTTAAAGGTTCTGTGTACATGTCGGCACACTCATGCCACATGCTGCAGGTGGAGTTCAGAGGACAACTTTCCTTCCACCATGTGAGACTCAAGTTATCAGGCTCGGCAGACTCGCCATCCCATGACACAGCATGGCTACGGAGGGGAGAGGACGTGCAGGAACTGATTCTCACCTTCTACCATGGGAGTTACCGGGATCTTACGTCAGGCTTGGTGACAGGTGCCATCTCACAGGTCCCCAAACTAGATTTTAATTTCAGTCACACAGATATGTGCTTCTATGTGAGTATATACATATATTCACTTACAGCACTCAAGACAAGTATTTGCTGCTGAATCACACAGTGCTGTCAGAGAGCAGCAGAGTCGGGTAAAAAATGTACTGATTGACGGCTCCAGCAGATGGCCTGGGTTTGGCTCACAACACCCCTATAAGAGCTTACAAAATTCTGTTAACTCCAGTCCATGGGATCGAATGCCCTTCCTCTGCCTCTGTAGGCACCAGGCACACTGCGGTGCACAGACACATACAGGAAACACCTATAGCCATCAAATAAAAAATCAGTCTTTTAAGCCCCGAATTCAATCCACAACACTGCAGACAAACTGGTGAAACCTTCTTGGGGTGAAAAAATATGAATTTTACCTTAAAAATAAGAGAGCTGGGGACTTAGTGTGACAGTGTGTTTGTCTAGTGTGTCCAAGGTCCAGATTCAACTCCAAGCACAACAAAAAGGTTGTTTAATGTCGCTTATAAAAAATTAAATACAAAAAGAAGTAAGAGATGGCTCTGGAGCTCTCTTGAATTTTAGTTTATCTAAAGATATTTCTATTATTATGTATGCACATGACTCTAGCAGTGGGTGTGCAGAGGTCAAGAGACCAGTGGTGGCGGCGAGCCATGTGGTGGCAGATAGCGGGCCCTGGGAGCAGCCAGTCCCAGGCAGAGACAGCTGCTGGTCCCAGAGCAGTGGTGGCGGGCCATGTGGCAGCAGACAGTGGGCCCCAGGCAGAGTAGGCTGCTGGTCCCCGAGCAATGGCTGGTTCCAGGCAGGGAGACACATGGCGGGCGGGCAGAAGACAGAAACATGGATAGACACAACATGCAGGGTGAGGTTGAATGTTTATTCAGGGGGTTATGGAGGAGGAAGGGTGAAGGGAGGACAGAGAGAGAGAGAGAGAGAAAGAGAGAGAGAGAGAGAGAGAGAGGAGGAGGAGGAGGAGGAGAAAGAGACAAAGAAGGGGGGAAGCAGAGAAGTGGGGAGAGAGGCAGAAGCGAAGCTGCCTCTCTGAGAGGAAGATGGAAAAGAGAACGAGCTCAGGCCGGAAGCTGAAGATCAGCCTGCCTCAGCGGATGGGGAGGGGAATGGGTGTGGCTTGTCTCTTAAAGGGACCAAAACCATAACAGACCACCTTTGTGGACTCGGGTTTCTCCTCCATCTCCTCCCACCTTTACATGGGTTCAGTTGAAATTCAGGTCACCAGGCTTTTGGGGCGAGCACCTTTCCACTGATGTTAAGGTGGAGGTTATAGAAGTAGAGTTTTGTTTTCAGTGAAGGAGACTTGGGGAAGTTGGATTTCCTTCTCCATGAGCTACCATGATAAAACAAAAGATAATCAGTGGTCCCCGTGCTCTGAACTGTTGGTCAGGGTTATAACACAGCACACAAGAACAGACAGAACGTGGGCATGACCAAAGAAAATTCTGCTCATTTTGATAGTCTAAAAACCTATACAGGAGAAGAGAATAAAGAAGGTGTAGGAACATATCTATCCTACCAAGGAGTGAAGTGGACCTAGTAGACCCTGAAGCCTGAGCTCAGGGTCTGGGTTCCCAGCCCAACTAAGGCGACCAAGTGACATTTTCCAGTCAATCTCTAGGTGTGGCTAGTTATCACCATAAACAAGGGCAGAATAACGTGGTGGGTGTGGTAGGCTGCTAGCCAGTCTTCCTACACTCAGGAACCAGCAGTGCAGGAGGGCATGCGTGGCAAACACACAGCCTGCAGGGCAGAGGGTAGATACTGACCCTGCCTGGCCACCTAGCCAGCACAGGCAATGTCCCTCTAGTGCAGCATCACTGGAGTCAAGAGTGGATGGCCTAGCGCTAACGCTCGGCACTAAGTAAACGATCCTAACCCTGAAGTCTCTTTCTTCAGTTCCCACGCCGCAGCTGAATCTCTGAAACAATCTCTAAAGTTGACAGAGCAAAGCTAGGACACAGCTCGGTGGTACAGCATAGACTTAGCCTGTGTGAGGCCCCAGGCTTGATCCCTACCACAAAAAATAAATAACTCCCATAGAGCTCAATAAAAAGACAAGTGCTCCCACTTTCCCCAAACCCACAGAAGCACATGCTAAATGAAATGACAACAGCCACAGCATGGCAGGCTTTTGTTTTGTTTTACAGAGGGCCTCTTGGCCAGCCTATAACTCTTTATGTAACCCAGACTGGTGAATTCACATTCCTTTGCCTCCCAAGGGCTGGGATTACAGATGTGTGCCATCACTCCCAGCTAATGGCAGAGCTTCTGTCCCCTCCTTAACCCTACTTTTCTTTTATATAATCACTCAGAATCAAAACTGCTGCTGGGTGGTGGCACACGCCTTTTATTGCAGCAGAGGTAGGCGGAACTCTGAGTTCGAGGTCAGCCTGGTCAACAGAGCACAAATTCCAGGACAGTCAAGGCTACACAGAGAAACCCTGTCTCAAAAAAACAAAACAAACAAACAAACAAAAAAACCCACAACTGTTTCCTAATGATTTAGGAGTGAGGAACAGTCTCAGTCAACAGAAGATAGCAACCAAAAACAACAATAATACAGTCCACACACCATAGACCTGGGCATGGTAGCTCAGGCCTGTAATCCCAGACTAAGGCGTAAGGTGTGCTGTGTGTTTAAGGCTAGTTTGGGCTCAATCTTTTATCAAAAGAAAACAAAACACAACTTAAAACAAACAACACAAAACAAAGCTGGGGATACAGCTCAGTGGTAGAGCCACTGCCTGGTGTGCTTGGTCTGAAGTCTCAGGCTCAATCCCCAGCGTTAAAAAAAGACTGATTTACTCTATTGGCACTCTAAAGATGACAAAGACACAGATGATGTTGCTATATACCCAGCTGCAGGGATAAGGAAATAAATCAAGAGCTTCCAGTGGGAGCTGGGTCTAAGAGTTCAATAGGCTAGCTCTACTTGTTTTTCTACTTCCTTTTGTGGAAGTTCAAACCAGCTGACTCACACTGCCAGGTTAGTCTCATGTCAGAGCCTCAGAAGCGATAGCCAGAGATGGTTTCGTCGAGTAGCCTTTAAACCTTCCTTTAATCTAACGATACAGAATACATTCAGTAAAAAAAGACAAACTTTGTCTATTAATGCTCAACCTAACCCAAAGACTAAAGGTGGCATATGAAGTCTAGGAAAAAAAATAAACGGTTTATCCTTGTTTCTAAATAAGTATGAATTACATACACAAAAAAGCTCAAGATATAAATACTACTTTTTAAACTTTAACTCTGTTAAGATACTTTCACAGGATGTACCTGGAATATAAATAAGAATCTGACTTACCAATGGTGGGGTCATGATCTTCTGGGAATCGGTGGCTGATGAACTGCATTGTCATGGCTTCAAAACAAGAAATGGAACTCATGACAGTGACCATGAAGTAATGTAACTATCAGCTTTGCACAAGAGCCAGTAACCCATCTGGTGCTTTTCAAACTTCTCTGTCAAATAGAAACGGTTACCTACCGCTCTTCCCGACGCCACCAGCACCCAGCATCACTAGTTTGTATTCCCGTGACAGCGCTGCAGGGCTGCTACAGCTGCTACCAACTGGGCGAGCCCCGGAGTCCATTGTCCTTACAGCAGTCCTGGGCCCCTAGGAAAGGCCTCCTAGGGAAGGCACAAAACATTCAGTCCAGGATGGAGACAGTCGGCCAGCCTGAGTCCCAGCCTCCCACAAACACCGCGGCCTACCCTGCTCTTTGCGGAACACTAAGAAACCCAGGTCTTCTCCCTTCCCCGTTAGTCTCAGTCCTAAAACACGGCACAGATTTCTAAACTTACTTTTTACAGAAAAATAAAAACAACTTGGGCTTCTCTTCAGATTGAGGCAGTGTGCCAGTAGGAAGGAGCCGGAAGCGTGCTGAGGGCTGCCTGGTACCACCGGGTCTTCTTCAGGTTGCCGCCCCCGCTTTTCCTCCTCCCGTCCCTGCCCACCTGTGCCCGCACCTCTGAAGGAAACCCTGAGTCCGGGTTGCAGGCCGGATTCCTTCCCGAGCGGCGCCGCACAACCCACTGCCCCGCCCGGGTCCAGGAAGATGGCGCCAGCGGGCGGGGCGTAGCTCTGGCCCCGCCCCCAAGCCGACAGGGACTCTGCTCCACCCCACGCCTAGGTCTGACTTGCAAAGCCCTCTGGTCACATACTGGTCTAAGGTTTGCACGGACGGAAATGGGTGATCCACTAACCGAAACAGAAACCTTTAAAGTGAGTAACGTAGGGTTGTTTGCTACCGGGAGGAAAATCCCCGCAATCTTACCAAAATACAGGATTTCATTTAGGGTAAGTACAGTCATTGCTACATAGCGGTGCTCCTTTTTTCCAAAAAAGCTGTCATTTAACGATCCTGTGACCAAAACAGATGTTCTGAGCACCCAGTTGTTCTAATTGGAGTTCTGTGTGCTAAAAACATTAAGCCATATATGATGGCACATGCCTACAAACCCCGCATGAAAGGTATTGTTGGCAGCAAGCAGTTCAAAGGTCAGTCCTGGAGAGATTATCAGTAAAGCACTTGTTGCTTTTTTTTTTTTTTTTTTTTTTTTTTGTTTTGTTTTTCGAGACAAGGTTTCTCTGTAGCTTTGGAGCCTGTCCTGGAACTAGCTCTGTCTGTAGACTGTGCTGGTCTTGAACTCACAAATAAACATAGAACTCTCAGCAGAGGAATCTAAAATGGCTGAAAGACACTTAAGGAAATGCTCAACATCCTTAGTCATCAGAGAAACCCAAATGGCCAAGATCAAAAACACTGATGACAACTTATGCTGGAGAGGTTGTGGGGAAAAGGGAACACTCCTGCATTGCTGGTGGGAATGCAAGCTGGTACAACCCCTTTGGATGTCAGTGTGACGATTTCTCAGAAAATTAGGAAACAACCTTCCTCAAGATTCAGTAATACCACTTTTGGGTATATATCCAAAGGATGCTCAATCATGCCACAAGGACATGTGCTCAACTATGTTCATAGCAGCTTTGTTTGTCATAGCCAGAATCTGGAAACAATCTAAATATCCCTTGACCGAAGAATGGATAAGGAAAATATGGTACATTTATTTACACAAGGGAGTACTACACAGCAGAAAAAAATAAAGACAGCGTGAAATTTGCAGGAAAATGAGTGGAGCTAGAAAACATTATTTTGAGTGAGGTAACCCAGACATAGAAAGACAAATATCACATGCACTCACTCATAAGTGACTTTTAGACAAAGAGAAACCAACCCATAAATCACAATCCCAGAGAACGTAGGCAACAATGAGGACCCTAAGAGAGACATGCATGGATCTAATCTACATGAGAAGTAGAAAAAGACAAGATCTCCTGAGTAAATTGGGAGCATGGGAACCATGGGAGAGGGTTGAGGGGAGGGGAGAGGCAGGCAGGGGAGCAGAGAAAAATGTAGAGCTCAATAAAATCAATAATAATAAAGCCTCCCTTTTAAAGCAAAAAAGAAGCTGCTTTGGGCCTCTGGCAGTGCAGAATAGACCAAGGTGGAATTCTAAGTAGAGAGAGAGGAGAAAAGAAGGTGGTGTGAGAGAGATACCATGTAGCCCATGTAGCAGAAGCAGAAAGATGCCCGCCCACTGGAAACTTATGGGTAAACCAAAAGCCTTGTGGTAAAATACAAAATAATAGGAATGGGTTAATTTAAGAGGCAATAGTTAAGAGGTCTGGGCTAATAGGCTGAACAATGTTTTAATTAATACAGTTTCTGTGTGATTACTTTGGGGATGGGAGACCTGGAAATGAATAGTCTCTGCCTACATTTTATTTTTCCAAATGCTAGCTAGCCAGACATGCCTAGAAAACTAACATTTTGGAAACGGAGGCAGGTGTTCTTCAAGTCTGTCTGGTCTACACATCAGAGCTTCAAGGCAGCCAGTGCTAAATAATGAGACCCCTAATCTCCAAAAAACCCAAAGTGGGGAAGGACTGGGATGTACCTCAATGGCAGAATTTTACCTAGCATGGATAAAGTTCTGGGTTCAAATGCCAAAAGGACAAAACAGAAAATAAAATAGGGGCAGGAGATGGTTCCGTGATTAAGAGCACTGGCTGCTCTTCTAAAGGACCTGGGCTCAATTCCCAGCACACACATGGAAGTTCACAAACGCCTGTAATCCAGTTCCAAGTGATTTGACATCTTCACACAGACCATACATGCAGGCAAAACCTCAATGCACATAAATCTTTAAAACAACAACAAAAAGCTAAGATGTGATGGCAAGTATTTTTAATCCCAGCACTAGGAAGGAAGCAGGTGGATCTGAGTTTAAGGCCAGCCTCATGCATAAAGTATAAGCCAGAGCTATCCTATATAAGAGACAGAGAAATACAGAGAGAGACAGAGAGAGAGAGAGAAGAGAGAGAAACATTCAAATGTCTTTTGGCTGGGCAGTAGCTGTAACTACCCTGAACTACACAGTGACATGTTAAAAACCAGGTAAAGGGGCTGGAGAGATGGCTCAGCAGTTAAGAGCACTGGCTGCTCTTCCAAAGGTCCTGAGTTCAATTCCCAGCAACCACATGGCCCAGCAACCACATGGTGGTTCACAACCATCTGTAATGAGGTCCAGTGTCCTCTTCTGGCCTGTAGGCATACATGTAGAAAGAATAGTATTATATACATAATAGATAAATAATAAAACAAAACAACCAGGTAGAGCCAGGTGGTGGTCATACATGTCCTTAATCCCAGAATGGAGCAGCAGGTGGTTATTCGTTAGTGCAAGGCCAGACTGGACTACAGACCGAGTTCCAGGACAGCCAGGGCTAAACAGAGAAACCCTATCTCCAAAAACCAAAAGTTAAACAAACAAACAAAAAAAGCAAAACAGGAAGAAGGCCAAGTGTAATGGCCATCTTTAATCCCAGCTCTCTGGAAAAGGATAGTCTGTTTTCGAGTTCCAAGTCAGCCAGGGCTGCATAGTGAGACCCTGACTCAACCCCTTACCCCAAAAGACAAGGCCAGCAAGGTGCCTCAGAAGGTTTTAAGTGCTTGCCAAGTGTGATCCCCGGACCACAGCGTTAGTAAAGAACTGAAAACTACCATTTTTAAGATCTATTTATATTTTATTCTTTGGTTTTTCGAGACAGGGTTTCCTCTGTTTAACAGCCCTAGCTGTCCTGGAACTAGCTCTTGTAGACCAGGCCGGCCTCGAACTCACAGAGAGCCACCTGCCTGTCTCCCGAGTGCTGGGATTAAAGGCGTGCGCCACCACTGCCTGGCTGATCTACTTATTTTTCTATAGAAAATATATTGCAAGATATACGTATGTGTGTGTGTGGTGTTATCTTGTTTGTGTTCTAACAAAGAGCTTGCATGAAGATCAGAGGGCAGAGCTAGTTAGACCGTTGAGGTCTGGCGGTCTGTACAGACAGGAAGTGATATGGCTGGGCAGAGAGTGGAAAGAGGAGGGGACAGTAGTTAGGCCATTTTTTGGCTGAGGATTTAGCAAAATAAAGGGTGCCTTAGCTCGTTCCTTTCTCTGATCTTTCAACACTTGCCCCAGTATCTAACTCTGGGTTTTTAGTAATAAGACCAATTAGGACACATACAATACAGATGCAGCTCTCCTTGGGGGCCAAAAGCACACACAGTGAACCCACCTCAAAAATAAAAACAAATAATTGAAGGAAAATTTAGAAAATAGGAAACACAAAACTTAAAAATCTTTTAATATTTCAATAATTTTGACTTTATAAAGTCCAGGAGCATATGCAAATATTAGAGCCTGTTAAGTTTTTCTTGGGTAGGGAAATAACTGCATTACGCTATGAATAAAGAATTTATTGAGGGACTGGAGAGATGGCTCAAAGGTTAAGAGTATTCGCTGCTCTTCCAAAAGACCTGGGTCCAATTCCCAGCAACCACACGACAGCTCACAATTATCTGTAACTAGCTCCAGGGAATCCAATGTCTTCACACAGAGTTATATATGCAGGTAAAACAACGCACATAAGAAAAATAATAGAGATGAATAAATTACTTTAAAAAGTTTATTGCAGGCTGGAGAGATGGCTCAACGGTTAAGAGCACTGGCTGTTCTTCCAGGACCTGGGTTCAATTCTCAGCACCCACATGGCAGCTCACAACTGCCTGTAGCTTCAGCTCCCTGGAAGCTGACACCTTTACACCAATGCACATAAAATAAAGTTAAAATAAATTTTAAAAAAAGTTTATTGTAATAGTGTATGAATCAGTCACAGAAGAAAAAGAACTGACAAGCAGATTATTTATACATTTATTTATAATGAAATTATGGTCTAATTATTTACAACATAGAGGAAACCAGAGAATAAGTTTGTACAAAGCCAGTCTCCAAAGTATTCAAAAATGTGCAAAAATGACAGTATCTCAAACACTCTCGGCTCAGCCACCACCAATTCCTTCACTTCCACACATCAATATTTGATACAAAAAAGTTCGTTTGACAAAATCTGCCATGCCAAGAAAAGAGGAAACGCTGCGATTCAGCCGGAGCCACCATCCTATGGGTGTCGTCCCCTCTTTCTTCGGCCGCAACCAGTTCAGAGAGACAGACAACTGTGTTTCCTTCAGTGGTGAGTTCTGACCAGCTCTGACCAGCTTTTTAGTCACATTTTCTTTGACTCAGCTGGAAACAAGAAGTTCAGGACCTGGGCAGTAACAAGAGCAATGGCTGCCTGAAACAAGCGTGGCAAAAGACGCCAACTCTGGATCATCCCAGGGAAGAAACAAAGCAGAAATAACTTCATTCTCCTAGTCAAGATCCAGCTATATCTGACCATTTTAAATGAGTACAACAGCATTTCCCAAACACAAGAAATCCAAATGGAAAGGGGGACAAGGAGCTCTTAGAATTAAATGTAAGTACTGGAAGGAAGGGTCTTAAAACCATTTCCCACTAATAAATAGTAAGGCTTTGTTTGTAACCAGTTATCAAAATTGACCCAATAGTAGTAAAATACAAATAAAACTTTCTTTACAACAGAGTTGAGGCTATTCATTTGGAAAAGGCTAGACCAGGTCAAACACATGTGGCAATGGCGCAGTCCTGATAT